TCATAATCCACTGCGATGAGTAATATGACACTTCCTGTAAGAAAATTTCGGACGGAAATTGGATAGTGTCTAAAAAATAGTAATGTATGCCGATCACGAGTTCAAAGGCAAAGCACAGGTTTAAATACAATTTTAAAAGAAATGTCGAAGCGTCGACGTGGTTCGGACATGTTTTCGCGAGAAGCATTTCTTGCCCGGTTGGCATCAAAGGCCGAGGCGAGGGAAAATATCAACAAGATCGCAAATTTTGTAAGTGCCAAAAATCTGCGTTTGTCTCAATTGCTCGAGGAAAAAAATGAGATTGCTGAGGAGACCATGATATTTATACTATCAACTAAGCTGACGACAAAGGGATTAATGACGCTAGCAATGGCAATTAAGCACGTTCCTTCACGATATAGTCAGGCAGGTCATGATGAATGTGGAAATTTTAGACTATATGCGATCGGCACCATTATGAGGAAGGCATGCAGGTTTTGTAATTGTGGTAGAAGATCTGCGAGTTTACGTAACATTAGTAGAGGCAAGATGCCCTACGTTATGTTCAAAATACGAAAAAGATTTCGAAGATGTTCTTTGGAAAGCCACCGAAGAAGAATCTTTTAATTTCAACTGCATGATGACGCCTCCTGTTGACCTCTGCCTTTATTGTCGAAAGCCATTGTCAACCAACAACAAGCCAAATAAGGCAACATTGTTCACGCTGAGCGGACCGATACCCTGCACCAAATTGAGACTTCGTTGTCGCGAGTGTGATGTTCAGTACGGAATTTGCTCCATAAGAGATAAAACTGGAGAGTGGAAGCCAGTAATGCGAATTATGTTGATGCAGCATTGTACGGGTGGATACCTTCTCTTGGGTAAGATCATTTGACTTCAACACCATTGGGCTGCTCGTTTTAACAAGACTTTAAAATTGTATCAATTAGTAATGTTGTATTGCAATTTTCTATTTAAATAGAAATCATAGCTGGGTGTCATTTAGTGGCTTCTCTCAAGCGTATAATGAAGTTTATATGAAAGAAATCAGCCAATTCTCACGTGCAGTAGCGGGTAAGTTCAAATGCAATATACATAAAATGAAAATGATTTAGTACTATTTAGTATTTAAATAGAGTACGTAAATATTAATAACTATTCGGCAAATTAGTTTCAGCTTGCAGCACACGAAGAAATCTTTTGTATGGAGACTGAAAATCCGCTTGATACTGAATGTTAGGCTACATGCAAGCATTTTCTAGCTTAGGTAGTGAAATAGATTGACACACCAGGCGGAAAAGCGCAATTTAAAGATAAATATTAAAACCATACATGACTTTCAAACAAGACATAACAAAAAGGAATAAAATTTATTGCTGACGTTTCGTTGTATATATACATCATAATAATACTATATATAATTACAAAATAGTATCAATTAGATCTAAACTTGTCTACTTATGTTACATTATTTTTTATCAGTGAAAATGAAGCAATGTGATTGGCTGAGAGCCTTTCAGAGCGGGCCGGTTTTTTGCATCCGGCCCGCTCTGAAACGCAACTGCCCGCTGTGAAATGCAACTGCCCGCTCTGGTTTTCGCGGCAAAAACTGAGGAGTGAAACAATTTTTAAACGAAAAAAATCTGCCAAAAACGTTTGAAAAACATAGCCTAACGATAGTCAGAATACAAAAATGAATTGCATCAAGCCCTAAAGGCTTCATACTAAGCACGATGTTCACCAGAATTGACAATATTTTGATAGAAATGCGAATGAAAGTCGGGAAATTATTCGACGTACGTACGTATGTATAAAACGTACGTCGAGAAAACTATACATTTTTTAAATGCTCATGTATTCGGCCATTTAAAAGCGAAAAAATTACAGCTTAAACAGTTATTGTAAAATAAATGTTTTCCCATTTAAAAAACGTTTCACTGCAGCAGTGAAAACAAGTCACGAATATATTCTCTACCCACTTGTGTCATGCATTTTTCACTGATATAAATGTTGTAAACAAAGTAAAAGTTTGTGTTTATACTAAAAACAATTTTTTCAAGCATATTATCGTGAAACGACAAGAAAAAATACAAAAATATAAAAACAACATACCCTTTTCATTGTCCTTTTAATAGAAAAACGTTGATTAAATCAAAACAGATTCATTTTTATATGTTTTTGATCTGATCTGATCTGAACATGAAGTGTCGTTGTCAGGAGCAACTGATTTTGCCAAAGCCAAAACGCCAGGCCTAAAAGTTTTTATTCCAAAGCTTCTCTTCTATACCACATTCATGAAAAAAGCATGTACATTTTTACTGAAACTATACGTCTTTTTGTGTGTTTCTTGCCAGTTTTCTCGAGTTTTCGTATCGTGTTTTATATCTTTCAACTTTTCAAATTTCAATATTTGTCAGCCTCGCTTTGAAAATATTCAACTGCACTGATGTCAAATTAGTTCGCAAGCAACACTGGAATTTTAATGAATTTAATTTTTACATCTGATAAAAAATAAACACGTTATTTACCGGCAGCGTCGGTCCGGATGAGAAAAACTGTGCCCTCGGTCTTGAAAACGTCCCTCGCCCTTCGGGCTCGGGCCGTTTTCAAGACCTCGGGCACAGTTTTTCTCATCCGGACCTCGCAGCCGGTAAATAACATATATGTATTAAAATAGGTCAAGAGGAGTTGACCAAATCATGTAAATACTAAATACTGTAGTACTGGATTAATTTTGGATATTAAAAAGCCCTCACGAATAAGTACATCTTTTTCCGAAGAAAGGATTTTGAATTCAGAAGCATGTTTAGTAAAGTGAGTATGAGCGAAATGCTTTTCTTAAATTTTTCGATTCTGAGATGGAAAGGTTTAAGAAAACCTTTTCTCATAATGGCTACCCATTTCACTGTTGGACACCTGTGTATCAAATCGTTTCTAGACAAAATTTATAACACTACGCGATTTATATCACTCGTCTTTGATGGGAAATGAACGTTCTGCTTCCACAATGCCCAGTGTTCTTGCTCATACTCACATTATTAAACATTATGTTTCTGCTTCGGTCTTCAGGATCGTATCAACCGGGGGGACTGGGGAGGATTCAGCCCCCCCCCCCTGCCCCCGAATAATTTGTAAACTAGCGATAATCTATAAAGTTTGAAAGGAAACACCTGACTAACGGCCAGATGTTGTGATGTATATATACAGCAATAAATTTTTTCCTTTTTGTTATGTCTTGTTTGAAAGTCATATGCTTGGCTTTAATATTTATCTAATTCGTTAAATAATGAAATATATATTGTAAGTATATAATAATCTTTCAAACTTTAGAAAGTGATGTAAAAATGGGAAATGAACAGGAGAAAGACTCATTAATAAATGATGAAGGTACTTTTCTACTTATTACAGTACGTTGAATGCAAGGGTCTTGACTGTTTGTAACAATTACAAATTAAATTACTTCAAAGTAAACTTCTCACACATTGCATAAATAGGAGCTGCTGCATCACCGGTCACAAACTTGAAAGTTATAATATTTATGACACAATTAATTGTTGTCTTCACAATTGTTCATTCATTACAAAAAGTGATATTTTCAGTAAGATACAAATATTTTCAGTGTTAAAGCAATAGTATATGTTTTAACACCCTATTTGTTGCCACCAAGAAATGTGAGGAAACTGTTTATTGTTTGGGGTTATACCACAGGAGGCCCAGGCTCGATTTGCCCGCGCCCGCCTGTGCCTTCCTTATAACGAGGGAAGGAAGGAAACATTGAGACCAAAATATGTCACACGAAACTATCCTTGATTTTTCGGCTTTAATGCATTTCTTTCACGGTTAATCGACATCCCCTGCAAGAATGATACCGTATAACTCTCAAAACAACGATGCTTTAATGAAAGAGCTTAAATTGGCTCTGAAATCCGTGAGGGAATAACAAAATTCGGCCAAAATATATCCGCGTGCCGGGTTTGCTGGACAAAAAGCGGAAGTCGTTGAACAACTCAAAATACACTCAACCCTGATTGGACAACGAAAATCAACAAACATTTCAAACTTTTCTCCACTGGGAGGGGGGATAGTACTTGGAACAGTACTGTCATAGGCGTACCGGGCGGGGGGGGGCGGGGGGGGCGGTAGCCCCCCCAGTTTTTTGGGCAGTCGGGCAATATTCGATCAACAGTCGGGCAATTTTGGTTTGCAATAAAAAAAAATGGGACAAATTCTGTCAATTTTGTCTAAAATTAAGTCAATTTTTTTGCAAATTTTGCGATTTTTCGAAAATTTGTGTTATGTTCCGAAAAAAATTGGTTGTCCGGAAAA